GGAGCCTCAGGAAGAGCAAGAAGAGGATGATGGGTTTCAGATTCCTGAACATGTTCCTATTGTTGAAACAGATGATGTTGATGCTGAGGACGAGGAGTTCCAGTTTCCCATGGGAAGGGATGTTGTCTTAGAAGATGTTTCTGATCTTAGCAAAACTTCACAGGTGCAGGTGGAGGAGTTGAGCCAGCCTCTGCCTTCTGATTCTCAGATTGCTGATTCCCAGCTCCAGGATAATGAGGTATTCGACCTTGAAGGCTCTGCAGATTTAGATAGGGCGGACCGTTTGGAATTCAGGGTTCACCGTAGTACAAGGCTCGCAATCAAGAGAGAGGTTAGAGGTCAAAGGAATGCTTTCATGTTGGAAAAGCATATTTAGTGAGCTGAATTAAAAATCTGTCCCGTTTCTCTTGCTCCTTGTGGACTATTTGGACATCACAGGTGATAGTTTGAATTAATAAAGTGATTATTGCTATTATTATTTTAATGTAAGAGTATACATGCTGTTTTGACTTGATTTTAAGGATGAATCTCATGTCCCCTGGTATTAGAGGACAGCAGAAAAAATGTGGTGGTTTTGATTCTAATAGTTACTTTTCCCTTTAACCAATTAGATTGTGGCTGAGATAGGAGCAAGGCTGTAGTCTGAGTACACTAGAAGATGGACCTTCTCCCTTCTGATCTCTCACTGAAAATGAGGTTAGAATAGGTGTCTGTAGCATATGCACACAATTCTGATTATAAATTAGATAAGAACTGATTTAATGTGAAAGAAATCAGGATGTTGTTTTGACTGTAATCTCAAAAAACAACTGTACAGATCCAGACCAACTACTACAGCAAAGATGCAGAGCCTGTCAAGGACAGAGAAACACCCCAGAGAACTTGAGAAGCTCTTCTTATCACTGACTTATTCTATTCCACTCTGTCTCTTTTGAGGCTATTCAAAGCTTCTCTGAGACTCAAACAACTCCCTCCTAAATCCATTACCACTTGATTCTGGAATAAATTTCACACAATAATTTGTTCCTACTGACCAGAAAAAGAAATACCCAGAATAAATTGAGAATCTAGAATAGAGCAGCGAAAACTAACTGCAGCAAGTAGAAATTTAACCTAGCTTCTGATGGATACTGAAGTTTAATCAAGTTAAGGCCTAAAACCTTGCTCACTTATTTGCTTATCAGGAAGAAAGGCAACTACAACACTGCAAGGAATTTGAATTATTGAAGATGCATACAGTCCATAAATGGAAGATCTCGTTTAACGAAGTTGATATGCTCACGGACATGACTTCTTCAATGGAAACTTCAGTACCACGGACAGAAACAACAATAAAGAGAGGTTCCTATACCGTCACAGAAAAGAAGAGCAGTGGAACCTCTTTTGACAACATTTTATTCAAAATGAACAATATGCATGTGTGAAATGAAACAACCAGATCAGAATGAACCTTTGCTGAAATAAAACGTTTTGAACCTACTAGAGAACACTTGCATCTAAGCATGACTTTTTCTTTCACTAGTAGTCACTTTTCAAATGTCAGTGATTAGCTCAGAAAGTATTCTTACATACTTTTTATTAGGTATGTTTGACTTTGTATTAGACCAAAATCAAGACAAACTTTTGACTTACATGATGACACCAGCAAGACTAACCTATGCAAAACTATGGAAACAGGAAATTAGACCAAAATCAAGACAAACTTTTGACTTACATGATGACACCAGCAAGACTAACCTATGCAAAACTATGGAAACAGGAAATCACTCCAACTAGAACATTATGGGAATTAAGATTACTAGATATAATGAATATGGACATATTGACTTATCAAATTTCATGTCATTCTCCAAATCCCAAAAAGAAAACAGATTGGGCACCCCTGAAATGTTTTTTGAAAGACAAAAATCTGGAAACAATAGTAAATGAAATCATTATATTAAATATATGGAACAATTGAAGTCAAACACTAAAAGGACTAGTAGTAATATATAAATAATTCTATTTTATTATCCTTTTGTATAACAATTCTTTGAGGTGAAGATAGGAAGCACTGAATTTTTGCTCTACCCTAGTAATTTATTTGTGTGTGTGTGTGTGTGTTCTGTCTCTCTCTTCCTCTCTTAGAAATTCAACTTTATTTCCTACTTTTCTGTACCCACACAATGTTTCCCCCTCTTTTATTGTATAACTACAATTTTTTCTGAATAAAAATCAATATTAAAAAAGGAAAGTATTCTTATTTTTTCATTGTTTCCTCTGGAGGGAAAATGCTTACAAATTATGACCTAAATTCAGAGTTATCACTTTGCTAGTACAATAGAACTTCCCATTTCCCCTTATCTTCTGTTACATCAGTCAACAGACTCTCCCAGAACTCCAGAGATGCTAATGATATTAAAGTAACCTCAATGCACTTATAATGGCATGATAAGCAGAGGATGTGGGGCACTGCCCAACAATTTACCCTGCTGTCCAACAGATTTGCCACACTGCCCTGCAGATATCCCCGAAGTTCCCTGGCTTAAAGACCTCCATGTGATGAGGCCCTTAGACTCCATTTTGCTGTTCTTCTAGCAGAGATCCAGAACTATGCCCAGTGTTGCTTAGGACAGAATTGCACTGTAAAGGCAAACCACCTTGAGTCGGCTTCGGGCTGAGAAGGGCGGTATATAAATACGATAAATTTAAATACGGTAAATAAATAAACAGTGAATAAATAGTGAGCCACCTGTATCAATTGGGGTTTGATTCTAGGATTCCCTGAATATATTAAAATCTGTGGATGCTTAAGTTCATAGTAACATTACATAAAACGGCAAAATCAAGGTTTTGATTTTGGAATTAATATTTTTCAAAGTTTGATAACTGAACCATGGATGTTGAGTCTGTGGCTATAGATTGCCAACTGCATTGTATCAATACAAGCACATGCAAGCAAGAGTGTCAATTTCTAGGTTTCACCTTTTCTATATTGCCTTCTGTTTTATTTTGCCCTTCTGCATCCTAGTAGATACATTTGTATAGCAGGGCTACAATGATCAAGTAAAAGAGAGGAAATGCATATGAATGGCAGCACAAACTATAAGAAGTGGGGGGAAAGGCAAGTCTTGCTCTGCTGACCTGGTAGGAGAGGTTTTTCTCTGCTCCAGATAAATAAATAGCTGTGCTGTTGCTTCTGGTCTCTTCTGGAGTGACACTTGCTGGAACACCTCAGCAAGTGAGAGTCCAAAAGTGGCAGGCTCAAACCCAGAACCTCAACCAATGGCTGATACCAAATGAGAGACTCCCCCCTGGGCACACAGAAAACTGGGCGACTTGGAAAGCGCTGAACAGACTGCGCTCTGGCACCACGAGATGCAGAGCCAACCTTAAGAAATAGGGCTACAAAGTGGAATCCACGACATGCGAGTGTGGAGAAGAGCAAACCACAGACCACCTGCTGCAATGCAACCTGAGCCCTGCCACATGCACAATGGAGGACCTCCTTGCAGCAACACCAGAGGCACTCCAAGTGGCCAGATACTGGTCAAAGGACATTTAATCAACTACCAAGTTTGCAAACTTTGTGTTTTGTTTGTTTTAATGCAATACAACTGTTTTGTTTGCTCCTGACACAATAAATAATAAATAAGCTGTGATGTGTTGGTTAACAATACCTAATACGCCAACTTCATGAAAAGACCACATTCAATGTAAGATGCAACCCACAGGGCCACCTCACTGAGGCTGTTGAAACAGGCAAGGGTGTCAAGCAAGGCTGCATCCTGGCCCCTTTGCTGTTCAACTTTTATATAAACTCCATAGTGGACCAGCTTCAAAATATGGACTTCCACCCCCCAAAGCTGGCGGGAAGACACATCTCCATCCTGCTTTATGCAGATGATGCTGCTGTACTCTCTAGAATACCCATTGGGCTCAAAAGAGCTCTGAGAGCATTAATACAACATTGCAACACAGATCAGCTCCAACTTAATTACAATAAAACCAAAATCATGGCTTTCGCTAATAGGCCCAGGACTTACTCTTGGAGCATAGATGGTCATAAAATTGAACAAGTTACATCCTTCAAATATCTAGGTGTAGTTCTCCAATCTAATGGTAGCAGAAGAGCTCATGGGGATCAAGTAGCCAACACAGCGCAGAGGAGCATCGAAGGGCTTTCACCCTGGCTCGATGCCACGCTCTCCCATCAGCTGTACTCAAAGGCCGCTACCGGAAGATCCCTTTCCCAGAGAGACTCTGCCCCTGTGACTTGGGTCATGTAGAAACAATAGAACATGTGCTCCTCCAGTGCCCGTTCTACAGGGATATCCATGCCAGGCTTATCTTACCTCTGATATACAAGCACTCAGGCCATTCAGGACAATTTTATACCACTCTGTTACTTGCAGATACTAATTCAGCTACAACCTACAATGTTGCAAAGTTCTGTGCAGCAGCATACAAAATCCGTCAGGGGATGACTAGTCCTAAAAGTTAATAGTGTGTCCAGTAATCTTCTTCCCTGAATCTACAATTTGGTGATGGACCTGTGCATTGTATGTTTTTACCCTGTTTCCCTTTCCGCTCCCTCACCCAAATTGTGCTTCAGTAGTTATATTTATATTTTTAATGTACCAAACATACCAAGTTTGTATGAAAACGTGACTTCTATTTCGCTAGTCAATGACTGAAATAAATGATTTGATTGGAGCAACATATCAAAATGAGAGGAGGGGGAATCCTCCTCCTCCAGAGCAGCCCAGTCTTTGCTGGTCTGTCACATTTCACTAATACTTGCATTAAAGGCAAACAAACTTACCACCCCAAACAATGCATACAGACAGTTCAACCTTTCTAATATTAAACATGGCTTAATTATCCTTGGCTTTTAAACTCGTAATATGTGCTGTTATATTTCTAATGAGGAATTGTGATTTTAGAATATTCCCGCTGTGTCCACAAATGATTATAGATAAATAGATAAATAAATGACATGAATTCCCGGGATGCTTTACCTTGTAAATTTTGCAATGGCAAAGTCATAATGCCTCCTGCTGCAGCTGCTGCTACCAGCCCTTGGATGTTGGTGAGATTAGCAGTCGGCAAAGTCAGGACCAATCCTTGCTGACCACCCAGTTGTCCAGCCATGTTGAAAGGGATAAGGATAGGCTGATTCAGGGCTGGCGTGCCTCCCGGCATTACCCCGGCTACAGCTGAGGCTAACTGCTGAGCCGTCAGTAGTGGCTGCAAGGAAACACAATTACCATATTTACCATACAGCAAAATTAATGGATAGCAGCATGGGTGCAATTGTTTCACTAGAGCTTGGGGATATTCCAGCGCATCCATTTTCCTGACTTCTGTCAGGTTTCTAATGTCAAAAATCGAATGCAATCATAGAGTGAGTTTACACTGGGCATGCAGCACTTAATCAATCAATTAATAATTCATCTGCTATCTGATTAACTCAGAGCATCATTTTAGTCAATTATTTTTAATTGATTAATCTAGTTAAAAATTAATTGGTTTAATGAAGTGATTGACTAAAAAGGGGCCACCTAACCAGATAGTTTATACAGCAATTGATATAGATTTAATGTTGTCTAAACAGTGTAATTGGCAAGGGCCATCTTAAAAGGAACTCTTTGCCTTGACATTTGGGTGACTGCCTCTTCTGAGATAAAGGCTGCTAGAACAAATGCACAAATCATCCAAAAACAATAAAAATATGTTTCATCTGTAACTTTAATTGATTCATCAATTAAATTATTACAATAAATCAAATTAAATCTGTTCAATTGAGATGCAACTCTAGTTTCATACAATCATTTCTGATAAGAAAAGTGAGAACATGTGAATCCCATACATTTATTTCTGCAAGAAAGCTTTCCTAAGAGTGTACTTCTAAGATGGTGAAAGTATTTGAGATTTTCGTTCCAAAATTGGCTACCCTATTCTTGAGAGGGCAAACCTTATGAGTATTGGTTTCCATGTCTGTCATGCAGAATTCAAAACGATCTTGACAGATTAGAGAGATGGGCCAAAACTAACAAAATGAAGTTCAACAGTTACAAATGCAAGATACTCCACTTTGGCAGGAAAAAATGAAATGCAAAGATACAGAATAGGGGACGCGTGGCTCAAGAGCAGTACGTGTGAAAAAGATCTTCGAGTCCTCGTAGACAACAAGTTAAACATGAGCCAACAATGTGATGCGGTGGCAAAAAAGCAATGGGATTTTGGCCTGCATCAGTAGGAATATCGTGCCTAGTTGCTATCACTCTGTTGTGTCTTGGTTAGACCACACCTGGAATATTGTCTCCAATTCTGGGCACCATAATTGAAGAGAGATATTGACAAGCTGGAATGTGTCCAGAGGAGGGCGACTAAAATGATCAAGGGTCTGGAGAACAAGCCCTATGAGGAGCAGCTTAAAGAGCTGAACATGTTTAGCCTAAAGAAGAGAAGGCTGAGAGGAGACATGATAGCCATGCATAAATATGTGAGAGGAAGTCATAAGGAGGAGGGAGCAAACTTATTTTCTGCTGCCCTGGAGACTAGGACGCGGAATGGCTTCAAACTACAAGAAAGGAGATTCCATCTGAACATGAGGAAGAACTTCCTGACTGTGAGAGCTGTTCAGCAGTGGAACTCTCTACTCCGGAGTGTGGTAGAGGCTCCTTCTTTGGAAGCTTTTAAACAAAGGCTGGATGGCCATCTGTCAGGGGTGTTTTGAATGCAATTTTCCTGCTTCTTGGCAGGGGTTGGACTGGATGGCCAACTCTATGATTCTCTTCCCACTCTATGATTCTATGCAAGTGAGAATGCTTGTATGCTTACTCACAAAAAGAACCAAAAAAGGGCCTCTTTATAGGTGGACACTGGACCAAAATAAAATTGGTCTTACCACTAGAAAGTGTTCCAGTTAGATATAATTCTAAAATATGCCAAATAATTAACACTGTTGTTGAGAACTGCTTTTTTAACTGTTTGTTATAATTATTTTTAATTTTGTTATAATTATTTTTAATTTAGTTATAATTATTTTTTTTCTGTTGTAGTTTCAGTGCTGTTTATAGAAAGAATGAAACTATTATAATGGAAACATATTTATAGATCAAACAAAATCTGTGTCTGTTTTAACTAGTCCCTTACCCCGAGATGTCCTCCCCTACTCCAAAAAAGAAAAATCAACCTCAGAGAGTTCACAGTATTTATTCTGTGGAGTGACTGCTAGTGCTTGAAAGTAACATGTTCCAACTTTAACAATTTTATTACTTTTTAGAATTAATCCAATGTGAATAACAAGTAGCATTCACATAAACTAATGGGAGAGGGCTGTTTGGTGTGATGGTATTTTAAGTTAATTTGGTGTTAAATTAAAAGCAACCAAAAGCCAGATTGCTTGCATTTGAGCAAGCGTTTACAAATGTAGAGTAACTAACATAGTAAATGGAATCACTCGACAATGGAATTTGGACAACGTTATTTAACAAGGAGACGCTGATGATAATGTTGGTTTTTATTGTTTTTATTGCTTCTATTGTGGGTTTATACTGTTTTAATGTTCAATTTGTATTTTGTTGTTATGTGTACTGACTTGTAAACCACCTTGAGAAAGGTTGAGAAAGGCGGTATACAAGCATAGTAAATAAATAAATAAATAAATAATAACAAGCAGTGTAATATGCCATTCTGTTAGCAGGTGCTATTCATTATTTGGGGGCCGTGGTGGCACAGTGGGTTAAACCACTAAGCTGTATTTTTTTTATTTACTTACTTCATTTCTACTCTGCCTTTCTTTACCCCAAAGGGATTTAAGGTGGTTTACAATCCAGCAAGCTGTGGAACTTGCTGACTGGAAGGTTGGCAGTTCAAATCCGTGGGATAGGGTGAGCTCCTGTTGTTAGCCCCAGCCTACCTAGCAGTTCGAAAACATGCAAATGTAAGTAGATCAATAGGTACCACTTTGGTGGGAAAGTAATGGTGATCCATGCAGTCATGCCAGCCACATGACCTAGGAGGTGTCTACAGACAATGCCGGCTCTTCAGCTTAGAAATGGAGATGAGCGCTACCTCCCAGTGCCGGACTCGACTAGACTTAATATCAAGGGGAAATCTTTACCTTTACTTTACTAGTTATGTCTCAGAACTAGCAAGTTTTAAAGTACAGATAGGGCATTCCTTAAAAGGAATTCCAAAAATCCAAAATACTCCAAAATCTGAAGTTGTCCACATGGGTGGCTCAAATAGGGACAACTTTGCTTTTTGGAGGTTCAATGTACACAAACTGTGTTTCATGCACAACATTTTAAAAAAATGTTTTGTATAGAATTTATTCCAGATTATGTATATAAAGCATATATAAAAACAGTTCTGGTCCCAAGCATTTGGATAAAGGATACTCAACCTGCACTGGCCACTGGTCTACATCTGGGTCTGATGGGTGACACAGAGGGAGAGGGCTAAAGTTTGCAATTTCTCATGATCAAGGAAATCAGCTGAGATGTCATAGAAAGGTGTTCCACATTTGGCTCATTGTCCTCAATCTTTCTCAAGGGCCAGCTTGCTGAAATCTAAAAGCATAGCATGTGGCATCTTTTCTAAACCTGCATTCATGAATGCCTACAAAGACTTCCCTGTGTATTTACCTCCTTGTTTAACTACAGAGCAAGATTACCATCATTACCTGTGTTATGTCTTGGACTTTGCTAAGTGAAAGGCATATTACAAGTTAGAGAGAAGTGAGATAATTATTTGGTTTGCATTTTAATGCAAAGTTATCAAATTTGCACTGTCCAAACTGAGATACAATTACCCAGTGATATGTATATTTGTTGGAATTTTTGAAAATCCAAAATACTTAAGGGTATTGTGTGAGAAAGTGTGCAAAACTACATCTATTAAAAGAAATGTGCACATTTATATTACTTACTAGCCATCCCCTGCCATGCGTTGCTGTGGCCCAGTCTGTGTATATGTGTTTTGTGTGTGTATATATTTGTGCATATGTGTATATCTGTGTGTTTGCATGTATATATGTGGTTTTGCACATGCATTGTAATGTATTTTTTTGTTTCTTGGCTTTTTAAGTCTCTTCTGCTGTATTTTCAGTGTTTTTATGATTGATGGTCACTTGTTGGTGACTTGTGAATTGTGTCCAAATTTGGTGTCAATTCGTCCAGTGGTTTTTGAGTTATGTTAATCCCACAAATGAACATTACATTTTTATTTATTTGGTTAGGTGCACTGTGAACATGTACAACAATGTATATATCAGAAGAAATGTGTCTCTAATATAAAAAAAATTGTGCAGCTTTTGTAGAGTACAACTCAAAAGAGTACATGGAAATTGGACAGAATAAACTTAATGTTGGAAAATGAGCAACTGAGCAGAACAGAACTAGACACATTCATCTCTAATTCATTGCTCTTGAGAGGACGACCAGGTTAAACCCAATTACTAACTACTCCCACAAATAAATAAATAAATTTCAAGTCATTATTTGGATTGGGAGGCAACTAGTGGGCATATCTGCACAACAGGCCAAAACTTTTTCAATAGTCACTCTTCTCCAGAAAAGATTTGTGATGGAGCTGTCATGCAATGGATGTTTAACAGATTTAGGAAGCAGATTTTCTCAGGGTCAGGCTGCTGATTCTAGTTGTGTGTCCACTATGACTGGCAATGGCTCTTCATGTTTCAAGGAAGTATCTCCTACTTTCTGATACCTGATCCTTTTTCAGAATGGACTGAATCTCAAAACTTTTGCTTTCAAAACACATGAATGCAAATACATCATACTTCACGAAATTCTTGTGCAGGGGTTGTGATGTGTATTGTCCTAACATTACTATAGGTAAAGATAAAAGTTTTCCCCTGACATTAAGTCCAGTCATGTCCGACTCTGTGATTTGGTGCTCATCTCCATTTCTAAGCCGAAGAGCCGGCATTGTCCATAGATACCTCCAAGATCATGTGGCCAGCATGACTGCATGGAGCGCCGTTACCTTCCCACCGAAGCAGTACCTATTGATCTTTTCACATTTGCATGTTTTTGAACTGTTAGGTTGGCAGAAGCTGGGGCTAACAGCGGAAGCTTACACCGGATTCAAACCTGCGACCTTTCGGTCAACAAGTTTAGCAGATCAGCGGTTTAACCCACTGAGCCACCGGGGCCTCCAGATATGAATCACCAAAGCAAAGGGTTCTCCTCAATATTTTTCTCAATCTACAACTCCAAGAATTCTTTGAAGGAAGCCATAATAGTTCCAGTGTCATATACAAATTTAAGTTTGTAGTGTATACATGCCCATAGACTATGGGCCAAAACTAAAACTGATTCCCTGCAACTTTTATAGTGAGTTATCCTATAATAATCACAACAATCCCAAAGCCTTTATAAAGTAATCACTTTAAAAAGGCTTCAAAATCATGTAATTGCTTTACTCATAAATATTGGTTAGCTCCAAAATAATACAGACTTAATTTCAAATGAACTATGTATGTAACATACAAACAACTAGAAAACCCAATCAGCTAAATTTATATTAGAATCACTTTCTGCTGTTTTACATGAATATATTCTCTATAAATGAAAAAAAAAACAGATTTTAAGTTCTAATTACTTAACTTAATGGAGAGAAATCCCTAGTTTACATCATACATTTAGCTTGATTTTTAAAATAAAGTTTCCATTTTCAATGCAAATTTAAAATATAAATTGCTATAGACACGTCATCAAAATGCACACATTTTGAACTAAAGCAAGCAGCTGAAGAATTCTATTTTATCCATTTAGTTGACTACTAATAATTGCTTTCAGAAAACAGGATTTATTAAGGCTCAATGAAAGAAACTGACCTGGGGCCCAACAGCGAACGCTGGATGGGATTGACTGGGTTGGTGCTGGTCAGATGTGCTCGCATCAGACAGCGCTGCTTTTCCTCTGGCTCCTGGAATTCAAATAAAGAGCTCTACCTTAATATCTAGTCTGGGGACCAGCACATTACATTTTGCTGTGATGTCACATAGCATCAAGCTGGAAATGATATGCTAAAGCAGTTTATCAATAACTCAAACGGTCAAATCACTTATCAGCTGCATAAATTATGCTAACATTCATTCAAGCTAGCCTATGCTCTTAGAGCGATACGGAAATCTGACAGCAGTGAAACTGAAGCTATCATTGACACAGTCAGTGTGGGTTACATTATACATCCATTTACATAAAAAGCACATGAGCTTTCTGCATGAAAAGAGGGGAAATGGTTTGGGGTTTTTTAAAAGGCTATGGTGTGCAACGGCAACCTTCCTCTTGCTGAGCAAAAATCATCCAGGCCAAAGTGATTTCACATCCGCTGTATATTTAAATCATATATATATTTATATATTAAAAATACACATCTATATGTTGTCTAATTGTTCCAAGTTACTGCAGCTTTTTCACAGACCAGACTATATATTCCGCAAAGAAGTTGCAAAATTCTAGGTAGAGCATCCCTTAACCAGAATTCCAAAAACTGTATGTGATACCAAATTGCGAGGGAAACTAATATCCCAGAGACAGGATCCAAATCCAAAATGGCCTTAATAGACTAAAACTAACAAAATTACTTTGAACCAGCAGAAATATTTTGTATTACACTTAGACAATGAAATAAAATAAAATAATGAAATTCACAGATATAGGGTGGGTGAGATCTGACTTGAAAACACTACATGTGAAAAGGATTTAGGAGTCTTAGTAGATCACATATTGAGTCAGCAGTCTGATGTAGTCAATGCGATTCCTGGCTACAGCAATAGGAGTGCAGTGTCTAGATTGAGAGAAGTAAAATACTGCATCCCATTCTGGGGTACCACAATTCACAAGCTGGAATGTGTCAAGAGAAGGGCAACCAAAATTGTCAAAGGTCTAGAGCAGTGTTTCTCAACCTGCGGATCAGGACCTCTAGTGGGGTCGCAAGGGGGTTTCAGAGGGGTCGCCAAAGACCATCAGAAAAAAACAGATTTCTGATGATCTTAGGAACCCCTTTGGCAGACAAGACTGAAGATCTCTCTGCCTGCCCTTCTCTTACTATTTGGTGTTGGTGAACTACAACTCCCAGAATTAAAAAAATTTCCCCCCAAACTTCAGCAGTGTTCACAACTGGGCATATTGATAATTCGTGACAAGTTTGGTCCAGATTCATCATTGTTTGAGTCCACAGTGCTCTCTGGAGAACTACAACTCCAAAACTCAAGATCAATGACCATCAAATTCTTCCAGTATTTTCTGTTGGTCATGAGAGTTCTGTGTACCAAATTTGGTTCAATTCCATCGTTGGTGGAGTTCAGAATGCTCTTTGGTTGTAGATGAACTATAAATCCCAGCAACTAAAACTCCCAAATGACAAAATCAATTCCCCTGCTAACCTCACCAGTATTCAAATTTGGGCGTATCAGGTATTTGTGCCAAATTTGGTCCAGTGAATGAAAATACATCCTGCATGTCAGATATTTACATTACGATTCATAACAGTAACAAAATTACAGTTATGAAGTAGCAACAAACTTTTCATATTGATTACACACATTTTAGACATGCATCGTTTTACGATACAGTAATGGAGTTTTACGATACAGTAATGGAGTTTTACAATCCAACTGGAAGTTAAACCAACTCCTTATAAGAATTGCGATCAATTTCAAAAATGTTTCAAAAGTCATTACAAAATAAGGGGGTGTTGGCATTTTGTTTCTAAAGCGTTTCTGAAGTGTTTCTAAAGTATAGTTAGTGAAAATCTCATTACTATAACAAGAGTAACAAAATTTCGTTACTTTTTAGTTATAGTAATTGCACATGGGGAAACTTCAGGAGTTTCTTTCTCATTTGTACCGCTACTGGGGTGAAACTTGCTTCAGTGGTAGAACACTTTTACCACTGTTAGCCCATCATGTTTCAAAATGTTTCACTTATCCATAGTATTTTGGGGGAATTTTCAAAGTGTTTATAAACAACATTTTAAAAAACTACAAGAGTTATCTCCTTGAGTTTTCTATACAATGACACAATATAACAGGGAATCATTTTCCCCAAACTTTCGGAAATAGTCATACATCTACTGAATTTAGGGAATTTTTTAAAAGTGTTGACAAAAACTCTTTTTTAAAAAGCCACAATAGCCATCTCATTGCCTGTCTCTCATATTAACCTATAGAACTCTCATTTAGGGATTTCTTCCCAGCCCAGCACAGAGATTTACTTACTAGAAGTATCAGTCAGTCCTCGTCTTTTGAAGACTCAACAATTTATTGGAACTCTCGCTGGCTGCTGCTATGGATGGAGAAATCTCTCCCCTATTGTGATTGGGACTTTCTGATGCTGAGCAGAATTCTGGGAAATGTAGTTTAGGGCAGGGCCTTTTGCATTTTCTGGCACAGGACTCCTTACCTTCCCAAACTATAATTCCCTGAATTATGTGCTTTCTTATTCTCTTTCACAGTAAACTCTACTTTCTTCCTGCTGCTTCCCTCTCCTAATGGCAAGAAGGCATTAATTTAAAGAGGAAAGTCAGCCTTTTTGGCTTTGCTTTGCTTTCTTGTGCTGAAAATGAAACTGACTTTGGGAGGCTTCTGAGATTTACAAAATTGAAACAAAAAAGTATTGGGTAAGTTTTGATTCTCAAGTTTTTGGTGTGGGCCATGTTGTGCATCAGATATCACATTGCAAGTATGAATTTAAGGACTTGTGACAACTAACATAAGATTGCACACCCCTAATTCATTCTTGTCCAAGCTTCAAAATGACAAGGGTAAGATCTGCTGAGTAGAGTGCACTCTTTTTGTACTTTGGATTCAGTTTGCAGCAACTGAAGTAAGCCGAGGACTAAGGAAGAAGCTGGAGAAGAGATAGAAATAGGGATATAAAAAGTGGGGCAAAGGGTTGATTAAGTCTTTCCTTGGCAGATTGGGATGGTTGAAGAGTATGCTAGGGATAGAAAAGTAATTACTGTGCTAACACTGAAGGTTTTATAGCACTGGCAAATGGAAATGAGTTTTGGGATCATGTCACACAATAATGATGATGATGATGATGATGATGATGATGATGATGATGATAATATATTTATATTCCGCCCTTCTCACCCCAAAACGGACTCAGGGCGAATCACAAGTACACATACACGTTTAAACATTCAATGCCTTTGTATAGACAGCACACAGACAGAACAGAACAGAAGGAGATGTTGTTTTGATTCCTTTTATGATCGACAGGGCTTGAGTCCACAGGGTGAGCTGTTGCTCCATCCTCTATAACAAAGAGCCATCAAGACTTCCTCATTCCAGCATTTTCTGATCTTCTTTTTCTTTATGGCATTGTACAACACCTCCCCAGCTTTTTTAAAAAGCGGTACCTAATTTCTCTAAGTACAGCTAAAGCTGTTTTTGAACTGCTTAGGTCAACAGTGAGCAGGGCTGATGGTTGGCCACTCATGCTGACCCGGGGCTTCAAACTTGCAACCTTTTGGTTGATAGATCTTATAGTTGCTGATGATTTACCAGTTGTTCTAAACCTCCCGTGTAAATCCTTTCTTGTGCCATGATACAAATGACTGACCTTCTCGGTGCTCTAAAAGAAGAGCTTCTAACAGTATCAAAAGAAACTAAAGCTTATAGATTGAGAGGAGATATGGTTGTCACTAACAACCTTATCAGAAAGGCAAGGTGAAATGTCTTTTTTTGTCTGGCTTCCGGTAAAGAAAGAGGGAGCAGCAGGGTAAATCTGTGCACAGCACCCTCTCGCGACACTTTCACCATCACATGGGGAAAGTGTTGCCTTCACGGGAAGCCCTAGGGAAGCCAGGACAACATAGGAAGCCTCCCGTGTTGGGGTGAAAGCATACAGTGATGCATTCACCCCAGTTGGGAGAGGGGCCTCTGCAGGAAGTTGCATGACAATGTGATGCTCGTCATGGGTGTCCGTCCTCTAGAAGGGGTGAAAGCATCTTAGGTCGCTGATATCACCTCATCTGATGAGGCCTTTGGTCTATAGCAAGGGGAAGAAAAGACAAGCCACACCATGGGCTGCTTTCAAACTCTTTATGATGGTGGCTGGAAAGGGCAGTTTGGGAACATCAGTAGTTTGTCTTTGTTTAAAGATAAGAGAAACCTGAAATAAGATTTAAAAATAAGTGGGATCTGCTAGATCATAGAATCAAAGAGTTGGAAGAGACCTCATGGGTCATCCAGTCCAACCCCCTGCCAAGAAGCAGGAATATTGCATTCAAATCACCCCTGACAGATGGCCATCCAGCCTCTGTTTAAAAGCTTCCAAAGAAGGAGCCTCCACCACACTCCGGGGCAGAGAGTTCCACTGCTGAACAGCTCTCACAGTCAGGAAGTTCTTTCTCATGTTCAGATGGAATCTCCTTTCTTGTAGTTTGAAGCCATTGTTTCACGTCCTAGTCTCCAGGGAAGCAGAAAACAAGCTTGCTCCCTCCTCCCTGTGGCTTCCTCTCACATGGCTATAATATCTCCTCTCAGCCTTCTCTTCTTCAGGCTAAACATGCCCAGCTCCTTAAGCCGCTCCTCATAGGGCTTGTTCTCCAGACCCTTGATCATTTTAGTCGCCCTCCTCTGGACACATTCCAGCTTGTCAATATCTCTCTTGAATTGTGGTGCCCAGAATGACACAATATTCCAGGTGTGGTCTAACCAAAGCAGAATAGTGTTAGCATTATTTCCCTAGATGTAGACACTAGGCCTGGGTAACAACGGAAAAATTTGTTTCTAAAATCGATTCGTTTTTTGGGGGTTTTTGCGTTTTGATATTTAAAAGAATTCCGAAATTTTCCTTTTAAAAAGTTCGATATTTACGAAATTTCGTAAATGGTAAAAAAATAATAACGAATCGATTTCCGAAACAATAACGAATTGATTCGTTAATGGCGGACGCGACCGCGAAATACGC